GTTCCGCCTGGTGGGATTATCCAATAAATCGATTCATCTAATCCGAAACCCATTAATTACTTGTCGCGTTAACAGGACACGTGACGATATTATGTGTTCGTATTGTACTGTTTGTACATCAGATATTCCCATGCCTAACCGCGTTTAATTATACAGAAGATGAAGAATGTTATCTTCAGAAATGTGACGTTATAGTCCGGTAGTTCACAGACGTTTCGGAGGAATGTGCTTCTCCATATTCACGAAGCTTCAGATATCTTCGCTTACCCTTATACTTGTTCATTGGATCTTGCTTACTCTTCAACTTAAAGGAGACAGTACGTGGTTTCCTCCGATGCGGTAAATTTGTACCGGGCTATATAGCATCACATCCCACCCAGCCTCAGATGCATTAAATATGAAAGTGTTTCAAAGACTGAGTTGCCCAACTTTTGTAACGCCCTGTACAATGTACAAACTTCATGCCCGTCGCCAGTACGACCAAGGAGTAATTACGATCGAATGTCTGGAGCCTGGCGTCATTACCAAGCTAATGGTAAAAATATACAACCCAATTACGATGCAATTTATTTTGTTTCAGACATTTACCCTTTGTAATTTTGGGGCACGCGATAGCGTAGTTGGTTGAGGCACTATGCTACAAGCCGGAAGGTCGCGGGTTCGAGTCCCCAATGAGGTAATTGAATTTTTCAATTGACCTAATCCTTCCAGCCGCACAATGGCCCTGAGGTCGACTCAGCCTCTAATAGAAATGATTACCAGGAATCTTATTGGCACGTAAGGCTGACAATCTTGCCGCCATCTATGAGCAGATTGTCTAGAAAATGTGAGATCCTCGATGTCTTACAACCCTACGTGCCTTCACGGCCTGTTACAGCGATAGCTTTACTTTTAACTTTTTCTTACCCTTTGTTATTTCAGTATTACTACTATAACATATATAATTCTACTGACAGTTAAAGCTTTGGTGCCAATAGTCCAAAAATTTGAATAGTCATTTAGTTTATTTTTATTGAAACAAAGTTACACCGTTTCCGTAAGATTATGAGCTTTAAGGAACACAAGTTACGACTTTTAGTATGTGTTTCTCTTGGCCTGTTGTCAAATTTCTAAAATGAGGCAGAAATGGGACCGACATTTATGTGTAATTGTGCCTTACAATAACTCGTTTGTTTAAATTTAGAAACAACAGTCAGTATGTATTAAGCTTTTTATAACTTGTTCCATTTCAGTATTACATATTGTCACGTGAAGGGTGGTGCGCGTGACGAAAATAACGGGTTCTAGTTAGGACTATTGGATTTATTGCAACCTTGGTAACAAGTTCTCTTAATCACACTTAAATACAGCGCTATCGCTGATTTATGCACTTTCCAGTTTACCGTTGCGCACGCACTAGGATTGTCCGTCTGCACTAGTCGTCTCCTGGCAACGGTTCTCAGCACAGAAACTAGCACTTCAAATCACTATGGAGCTTTCTTGCTATTTCGTGTTCAATCACCTTGGAACCTCGGAACTAAAAATTCTTCTGGACTCACTCCTCCAGCCTACGAGAGACCTATAACTGGCCTGAACGAATTATGCCACTCCCTTCTCTTATAAACACTTCGCACACACCCCACGGAAAAACACAGTCTCTGTTGCTGACGTAGCACGGTGTGATACGCGGATATATGTTTACCCGGCCGTTGCTTAGAAACGGATTGCACATCCCCTTTATTCTACTGTTGCCTGGAGAACACCGCATAGAAAACACAGCATCATCTATTGTTGCGTAACCTAGTAACTGACTGTTTACTAACACGGGAGTCTTTTACCTTGTAAATACTGTCTTCCTTGCAAGACTTCTATGTGTCTGCTGTAATGTTTCTTAGTTACCAATATAAACAATGTTTAAACGTTACTTAGTAAGACCTGGATGGTTATGCATGTATTCCAATGCCTAAAACAAATACGTAAAAAAATACTTACGGAACTAACACTTTGCTATCAAAACAGTTAACTGTGGGCAAATCCATTCCAACCTGAACTTACCTTATGTATGAAGAAAGCACGACATTATGAAATATTTATTAGGCAAAACATATTAACTCATTTTTTCCGTCTTTAATGCAACTTAAAAATATTCAATCCCTTCTTAATTTAAAATAACATTAAGATATTTTAAGTTAAGGACAGACTGTGAACATTTTTAAGTTGCATTAAAGACAGAAATGAATTAGCGAGTGACACATCAGTGTAACAGGATACTGAAAAACAAAACTCCGTGGCCTGTAGTCCGCAAGCGAACCATAACGACCGAGCGACTGCCGCTTGTCAGCGAAGTTAGTGCCAATTTTTGCGGATAGAGGGTGTCACGTGGTCAGCGCAACGGCCCCCCACGGCCGTTAATCTCGGTTTCCTAGACCGAACCCGCTATTTCCTTAAAATAGCGCCTCAATTATCCTCACGAGGCTGAACGGACCCCGTTCCAGAACCACTACTTCTCAGAAAATCTGGTCGCGCCGGGAATCAAACCCGGCACCTTTGGATCTGCAGCCAGGAACTATTGACCACTAGACCAGAGAGACGGTCTTTAATAATAATAATAATAATAATAATGAAAGTACCGTATTCTTGAGCCTGATGTATGCCAGGGACGTTGGTTACCGATCCCTGTATTTACTCGTTTGCTCCTTGACCCAGCAACCAGAACAGGGTAGGCTTGTAGCTGGCAGAAGACCACGAAGCGCTACATCCGCAGTTCTCTGATGCACACAGGAAGCTGAACCTATTTGTTCGTGACTAATTCATCCTTCAAAATTTGGCGAAGGACATCAAACTCAATTTATGTGAAAACCGTACCGTGGGCAAACCATACATATATGTCATGTATATCATTTCCGGCCAGCATTTGAACGGTGTGTTGTCTACACATTACTGACAGCACTGCCAATGATTAATATCTTCAAAGATGCACTTCGTAGTCGTTGTTCGACTAAACCGTTCGTTTTGGGTTGAAATTAACGCTGCATTTTCCAGTTGGAGGCAATCAGAGTAAACCCCTATATCATTTTATTAAAATGTATTTTTTTAAGTTCGCATCCTGTTGCGTATGTACAGTCAACAAATACAAATTCTACCGTCGACGCAACAATTGTTTATTAACGAAATTATCTAGAGTAGCACAAACCACGCAGAAAAGTACATCGCATAAAGTAGACAACATTACATTAACCGTAAATTGGCATCCAACAATATGAAACAGGAAGAGTTCATTCATTAGGAAAAGTTAACGTAATGATTTCCCACCCGGCGGCCCGGGTTCGATCCCCGGTCTGGTTAACTGGGATTTGTGGTGGACAAATTGGCGCTGGGGCGGGTTTTCTGCGAGTACTTCAGTTTCCCCTGGCAATCTTCATTCCACCAAATTCTCCATCATCATAATCACCCGGGGCAGACTACAATAGGCCAATCAGTGGCCGCCGTGCCGAGTGGACCCAGTTGGACTCCACCCCCCC